GTCAGCCAAGCAGGTTCGTGTCACCTTGCTTTCCTGCGTACCCCCTGTATGACCGTGTGCAATATGAGCTGTGCTGTTCTGTCTAGTGTGTAACCAACCAGTCGTACGCAGCATCCCTTCGCTACCACACATGCACGCAAACGCTTGCTCAAACGTATCCCGAGATGCCTTCCTACGCACAAAATCGCACAGCGCTCAACCTACACAACGTTTGGATACGGGCCTACTGCCCTACCAGGAAACCCCCTCCCGCCGCTTGAGCCGAAGCAAAGAAGCCAACATAGCGTCGAGATGGCCGACCTGTCGATATTTCAACAAAGGGTTGCATCTAACGCCATACGCAACATGTTCAACACCCACGCAACACGCGATTGCGAATGTGGCGTTAGCACCAGCCCTAAAGTTCGCAGCTGTTTACCTTTAGCGTCATCGCCCCTCTCATCAGGGGGGCACGCTGACCAGCGTACTCAAGTACTACGGCACAGATGCATGCCTCACCAGATGGGAAGCACAGCAAATCGCTCCTTTCACATTTTCCTGCGGCTCACCCCGAGGGCAGCCAGTGCTCTGAAACACTCCCAGTGGCACCCACGGACATGCGCGAGGTTCTGCACACTAGCGACGAAGCAAAACGCGCAACCCAACCAGTATTCCACCTCAAAATGTCCGCTCGTCCATTTCTAAGGGCGAGCAACCCTTGGAGCGTCATGCGCACTGCCGGCCCCTGCGTTCCTAAAGGCACTCCAGCATTGGGGTGCTTTCCACTATGCTGAGCCTCTGTTCAGTGCTTGGAAGCATGATTTTCTTCTCACCGATACATGGGCACCCTGCAGAGGAGCAGGATGGCCCTGGCCAGCTTCGCGTGAGCCATAGGCCCAACGCACTTCCTGCGGCGTGTTGCCAACGCTCCACTCAAAGCAACTGAATACCCCACTTCCCTACATCCGCACATGCTTCAAGCCCGACGCACTTCGTCCTCTTGCAAGTTGCTCACCCAGCCGTGCGCGACAAGCCTTCATCGCACCTTCCTCAACCAGCGTATTAACAAAAAGAGGACGTTGTCGCCAGTTTTTGCCTCTGTGGCACATGCGCTGTTCAATACTTGCCGTAGTGCAGGCGACAGCGTACACGACCCCTCACGCAGCCTGCTCTGCTGAATGCGCTGATGTTAAATACCGCTGCTGCGCCGTGTCGCCACAACAGCATGTACACGACTTGTTCGTTGACGTGCTTGGTGGGTTGACTGTTTCGCAAGAACATGTCTCTGCCTATCTTTTCCCCAGCCATTCGGTGAAAGACCCACCAACTGTTCCGCAAGCTCAGACGCATCATGCAAATAATGTAAAAGTCACCCAAGCGCCAGGCGTTTTACGAGCATCCACCCTGATATTTCCACTTCAAACTCTACACAGCTGCTATTCCGTTTTTTTTCACAAGCAGCAGCACACCCCCATCAGCTCAACGCGTATTAGCAGTGCCTCGGTCAACAGGTTCAATGACGAACAGCATTTGATTCGCCTGAAACCCCGTTAAACGAACTGCGTCATGGAGAGTGCTGTCAGCTGGTCACTGCCAAGCAGCTCCTAGGACAGAGGGGCTGTAAATTGGGCTGCAGCCCAAGTTTCTATCTGCTGATGGCTCACTGTCTGAAGT